GGCAGGTTGGGGTACTGTGTCCTCAAAAACCGCCCGGCCCCCCCCCCCCCGCATCCTAACCCTCCCCTCCTCCTTTCCCCCCTACCCCCTACCCGTCACGATGATGGGGGTCCTCCGGATGCGATCCTCACTCCGCCAGTCTTGACCGACACTGACCACGTTGGGGTTGTCGCAGATGTTCATCAGTGTGCCGATCACGATCTGGTTGTTTACCGTGACCTAAACGGGGGGGGGGGGGAAGCGGGGGGTGGGTGGGGCGGAAAGGAGGGGAGGGAGGAGTATGATAAAGAGGAGAGGTGAGGGGGCAGAGGGAAGGGAGAAGGGGGGGGGACCAGGGTTATAAATTTGATGTCATCACGCAGACCCTCGTAAGGATGTCTACAACACACACACACACAGACAGATACTCATACACACAGGTCACGGGTCGCGATTACCCCCCGACATGTACGACAATGAAGACGCCACCGCTTTCCCCGGAAGCTCTCAACACCCCTCCTTCTTTCCACCCATCCATACAAATAAACAAACATACATACAAACACACACACCTGCACATGGTCGAAGTGGCCCAGCCCCGCATCGATGTCGTGAATCAGCAGCGCCGTCATCTTGCCCCGGACCTTGCTCATCTCGGAAGCCTAAGAGGGTTTGGGGGGGGGGGGTGTTCATGTGGTGGTGGTGTTGATGGTGGTGTTGATGGTGGTGGCGGTGTTGATGGTGTTGATGGTGGTGATGTTGGATGTTGGTGGTGGTGATGGTGGTGTTGATGTTGGTGTTGATGTTGATGGTGGTGGTGGTGCAATAGCCGTAAACGTGCCAGCAGTGCAGCGGTGGCAACGGCCAACACGTCGGGAGCCGCAAACTGCCGACCGGGGGTCCCGCTGAAGCCACGACGCTGTGCTGCTGCTCTGTGTGCGGACTACCTACCGCCCTACCTACCGCATGTTACCGGAGGACAGGGGGAATAGGGACGCGTGTGTGCATGTGCATGTGTGTGCGTGTGTATGTGTGCGCATGTGCTCCTGCTCGGCTGAGGGCGTGCACCCCCCCCTCGCGTTTCCCCTTTTGTCAAGGGGAAAGAGAGCGCAGTGGCCACTACCAAGGCCCTCTCTCAAACAACCTCAGCAGCACGCGCTGCGGCACAGTTCCGTCCGTGCGACTGAGCGCCCCCCGGGGTCCGCTCAGCCCTCAGCCCGCGGCCGCGGCCGCACCAAAGGGGGGGGTGTTGTTTCAGTCCCCTGGAGGGGTGGCCCTTACACACGTCAGGTAGGCGTGAGGGCAAGGTCTATCCCTAGTTATTTGATGGTGTGTATGTATGTATGTATGTATGTATGTATGTATGTATGTATGTATGTATGTATGTATGTATGTATGTATGTATGTATGTATGTATGTATGTGTGTGTTGACGGGGAGAACAGGCGAACCAGAAATAAACGACCCATATACTCTTGCCCGTACTTTTGCCCGTACCCGTGCCGTACTTTGCGATATCTTTCCCTGATCAGTTTCCCCGGTGTCCCGGCCCACTCGTGCTCCAGCTCCCCCGAGCTCATGACCACCGTCTCCGCGCTGACGTCATCATCATCGTCATCGTCATCATCATCATCAGAGGGGGCGGGGGGTAGGGAGGGAGGGGGCAGGGAGGGGGAGGGGAGAGAACGGAGAGAGGGGGGAGGACGGGAGGAGGGGAATTGGTTGAGCTGAACGGTGGGTGGTGGTGGTGGTGGAGGGGTTGGGGGGCGGCGGGGGGCACCTTGTAATGATGAGACGAAGTAAAGACGGTCGAAGCCGAAGCTGCGGAACGAGGTGGGGGCGGCGGGGAAGGGGTAGGTGGGTAGGTGGGCGTCAACCCGCCTCCTGACCCACCGCCTTCACCCACCGCCCCAGCACCGTCCCCTAAAACCAACCCCCGCCATCTCGCTGAACCCCTTCCCCCCACCCGACCCGACCCATCCCGAACGCCCCAATCCCCCCGATCCCCCCCCCCCCAAAACACGCACAAACACCCCCCCCCCTTGGCCCCCCCCCCAAACCTCACCCCAGTTGCTTCAGCGCCAGCTCCGTCTGAAACGTCTTCCCCATTCCCTTTTCCCCCCATATTCCCAGAATGAGGGGCACTCGTACATTGCTGGCTATGGCCCCCAGGTCGTACAAGTAGTTCTTAGCCATGTGGAGCTGAGGGGGGGAGGGGAGGGGAGGGGGTTCCCCGGCCCGGGGGTAAGTGAAACACAGAGAATGGGGAGGTGGGGAAGAAGGGGAAGAAGGGGGAGGAGGGGGAAGGGGGGGAAGGGGGTAACATTGCCTTCCCCCGGGACACCGGGCTGTAAGCGGACAACACGGTGGACCCCTCCCCACCCCAT